AGATGGGGATAACAGGGTGGATGTGGCCTCGGGTTTCAGAACAACCTGGGAAAGCAAACAACTTATAGTGTGGTTATATATGTATCGGGAAAGTACATGCAAGCTACCCTGTTATCGGAACAATACAATAATTCATCCTTGTGACTTGGGCGAAATTCTATCAAGCATACTACAAGTTTCTTTCACGTTTCATCCTGACCAGAAATTTTGTTTGCCACGTTTTCGTCACAAAATTTCAGGGGAGGTTGTAGGAAGAATGATTAGGGCGGGGACAGAGACAACTAAAACCCAATGGGAAACAGTGGCAACTCGGAGATTCATAGCTTGAACGATCTACGTTATTATCCGCTGTGAGGGCTTTGGAGGTGTAAGTTATTCCTCCAGTAACTATGACTCGAGCAGGGCGGCGACTAGCGAGGGAAGAGAAGCGACCGCGGTAGGCAACGAAGCCGCTGACGATACGACAGCATAAACAACACGCGAGTAGACCAACGGGAGCGTCGATGTCGAGACCGACGTAGTAACGTAAGGAGGAGAAGGGAGAGCGGGGGCAGTCGGATCGTCGTCCTCAGTAACAAGCAACCGAGTCTCCCTGCGATTAAGCCGTCTTCAGGGAAACACGATTTCCAGCCGATGCCGGCCCATGCTCCAACGACAGCGTCTCGTAGTAGATGGCCTCGACGGTGGTGACGATGCGGTTCTCTGTCGGCTCGAGCATCTCCCAACCCTTGACCGTTGGCGAGACACCAATGTGGAGCCCCCATCGTGCATTCGGTGCCAGCTTCACGCTGCGCTGATGCTCGGAGACCATGAACTGCACCATGCAGCCCCGCATGCGGGCCATGGTGAGGTCCGGCTTCGCGGCGTACATCAACTCATGCGGTGTCGTTCCTGTAGGCAGTGAAGATCGTTCGAGGCAGTTGCGTACCCAAACGGATTGGCGAAGGGCGAGGTGCCACCAGTGGTGTTGCACGCCCATGCGAAGGAGCATCGTCCGCACTGCTTCGACGATCGTGCGGATCTCCCGCTTAGCCATCCCCTTCCGCTGCTGCAAGTAGGGGCACATCAGATCGTGGATGATGCCCTTGTGCTCGACAAAACCGATGAAGGTGCGACTCAGGAACTACCACCGCTATCTGATCGGAGCATTTTCATCGACCTCGTGATTTGTCGCTCCACCACCTCCCGCCACTTCTCAAACACTCCCAGCGCATCGCTCTTCTTCGTGAGCGGATGCACCCACACGAAGCGATTTTTGCGGTCTTTGAGGAGGAGGAAGTAGATGGTGGCTACACGAAAGGGTCTGCATAGGTCGATGTGGACGACGTCGAACGCTCTCGGTTTCGGAACCCTTGTCAGGGAAGGTGTGGCGCACCAACTTGCCGCCGACACAGGAAACACATAACAAGTCAGCGCCGGTCGACGGCTTAATCTCCAAGCTGGCGGCGGCACCTTGTGCCGCCGTGCGCTTGATCGTGTCAACGCCGGCATGCGCAAGCCGTATGTGCCGCAACGACGAGGAAATCATCAGTAGCGCAATTGTCTCCATCAGCGGCGTCGCCGACTTCAACGAGCATGGCCGTAGGTCGGTGCAAAGAACCCGGCCGGTGAAGCGTGCACGACCAAGCCACGGTGGATACGAGAAGAGTCTTGTCGCCATCGTCCTGCAGTTTCACAATTTTGTCCTTCATCTAGCTGGATGTCAGGAGATTCGCCTGCACGTCGGGAACATACAACATATCGGGGATGAGGATATGCTTTGCGGCCTCGACTTGCAGCGCGACGGTGACACGACATTGGACAACTTGTATCGTTCCGTTGAAGCCGCGCACATGGCTAGCATTGCCTCCTGGCTTCATGTCGATGAAGGCCACGCGAGTTCCCTTCAGGTGATGGGAGCAGCCGGTATTGAGGAGCACAGCAGTCAGGTTCTCCACCTGCGAATCTTCTGTCAAACTGGTCAACTCCATAATGCCGACCATCGAGCACAAGGCCGGGGCGCCGCTGTGTGCATTAACGCTCAAAGAGCCGTCGTCCGTCGCCGAGGACGTCTTCAACGTCTGCGTCTCCTTGAGCGGCGGATTATCGCGACGATGACGGCCGGCTTCTAGTCCTCGTCCGACTTGCAGTCGGGGCAATTCTAAGGGAGGTGCGTGGGGTCTCCACAGATATAGTAGTGGCATCCACCGCGACTTTTGCCACAATCGTTTTCCTTGGTCGGCTTCGTGAGGTTGGCGTCGCTCACTGAATTCTCGCCCCCGTCGCTGCCTTCGCGTGACTTCCCACGCCTCCCCTGCTGACTTCCCTACTGTGTTGGGGTGACGCAGTTGGCTTATGGAAGGAGTCACTCAGACTCTTGCGTGAACTCCACTTCGATGATAAAGCTCGCCAAGGAGTCCTCCTTGAGTTGAACGCGCACGTCGGGGAGCGTCACCATCCAGCGCAGCAACTTGTTGTCCTGGGGAAGGCCCATGATGCCATGCGTGATGTACGACGACATCGAATAGTCGACGCAAACCATTAGCAAGTCCGCTAAATTCTGTTGTGCGCGGTTGAAGTATGCCATCGCCGACTCATGCTCGCCCATACTGGGGTTGGTCAACCGCTGCTCAAGTTGACCGATGTAGAGGCCGTCGGTCGCCGTGTATGTCTTCGTGATGAACTGCCAGATTCGAAGCCAGCGTCTTCACGAAGTCGGCAAGGCTTATACGCCACTTAGACCATCGGCAAGCAGCACCTCGAGCTGGCCATGAATGTCAACAGGTGAGCAGCGCATAATTGTGTCCGTAGTTTGACGTCGTCCTTGTAAGGCATCTCCACGATGCCGTTGGTGAACTTCTTCAGCTGCGCAATCTCCAGCTGCGGCTCAATCGACTTCAACCACGTCGTCAGGTCATATCGATCTTTAAGGAGCTTGGGCACGACGATGTTGTCCGTAAAAAAACTGAAGTACTCGTACGTCGAGGAGATGCCTCCGTCTTGTCAGGCAGACATATTCAACACCTACGTCGACCCCGCTCCACTTCGCTGAGGAGATCGGCGTCGACTGTCGATGTCGACTCGCGCACTGCCGGCAGCCGCCGACCGCAGGACTTGCGCTCGCGTCCCACCGACATCGATGATGTCGGCTCTGACGAGTGCTTGGGTCATTCCGTGCACCACCCTTGCACATCCGTCTCTGACGAGGTTACCATCTCAGTCGTCGTCTCCAACTTGGAGAGAGGCGAACTTTCCGTCTGCTTCGGCATGGGGAGGTGGATGCTCGCGCGCCCACTGTGCACGAGTTCGTAGGAGCAAGAGCTTTGAGTTCTCATCACCGATTTCACCACATATGTAGCACTCTTGCACAGCAACCTCTCACGCCGACAGGGCAACTCCTACTCCTGCAACGACTCCTTGTTCGTTCATGGCGGTATAGACGGCTGCCGGTCCAAGCTACGACTTGCTAACGGGCAATGCTCAAGCTGACCTAAAGGTCTCTTACAGGTCCATTCCATGCTCACCGTACCACGCGGAGAGTCACTCTACAACGGGACTAGACTGCGTGGGAGGCTACGAGTTGTACGGGGTGATCGCAACGTTTCTTAACACTTGTGCAAGTTCGTCTTGCTCGTAGGTGAAATTGGCACGAGTTTCACTATGAAATGCATTGGAACGCACCTAGAAACCTAGCAAGGTGACATGCCAACAAAGCAATGAAGGCGTCTTGCCAATGCTGCAGCAAGGGGTCTTGCCAGCGTTGCACCAATGTGGCCTGCCAGCACTGCAGTTGCATGTGAACACGTGCATACATGCGCGTCACCTGCCAAAGTAAATGCAGATCTGGACGGCAGACAATTGTGTGCAAATCGCGCATGCGATGCATATTGCGTAGGTGTCAGGTTGTAGAGCACGCGATTCCATTTCCGCAGGTCGACTTTTGCCAAAACCACCTAGGGCGAATTCGCGCACATGAAAATTTTCGCCGACCACTTTGGTTGACCAGAAAGACGTTGCTCAGCCGGCCCCGCCAACCGTCGGTCAAGGCTACGGTAGCTGCAAGATACTTTGTTGTCAGACCAGATCGATGTGTGGTGGAACATTGCAATCCATAGCCCCCTCTTTTTACTAACTCTCTTGCTTTATAGAGTTGCTCCCCAAATGGTCAGAAATTATTCGTCTGCTACTCAAACAAGAGGATGACACTAGAAAAAAACAATCCTCGGTGAATGTCGAAAGTACAATGACCTGGCAGAAAATACTAAACAATGGCGGGGGTTACTAAAACATCCATAACATTTAAAGAATAATTATGGGTCCTACCAATGATCTCTTCTAACATCCATATTCGATATTTTGTGTATTTATTCCCTATGTCCGACCTATTGCAATTTATTGTCAAAATGAGTATGGTAACTAGCAGATATGTATTCTGACATCATACACAACAAGTTGAACCGGTAAGGGCTGGTGTTGATTTTTGTTCGAGGTTGATACACGGCGATACCTGCGCGACCCATGCAAAGGGGTAGGAGAGTGAGGGAGAGTGGAGGAAAGGGGGAGGGTTGAGGGCTAAAGAAAAGCGCAATGCTGTATACGCCATAGACAAGCTGTGATAACCTTGTAATATGCATATAAAACCTGGTGCAGTTGTAAAGAAATGTGAAACCATGTTATAAATGGTATCATGGGCAACAAATACATGAGAACGGGAAAGTGCACACCTGGAGATGTCGAGAGTGTATCATGTCGTAAAGTTGTTTGCTCTCCTTGGTGATGCACTCGAATGCCTCCTCGACATTGATGTCTGCTTTAGCAGACTGGATAAGAGTAAAAAAGGGTAGGGATTGGGATTGTGCCGCTATGAACAACAGATCCAAGCACATTCTGTGTAAATGCAATGTTAGAGGAGACGAAACAAGGCAATGCCATATTCATGCGTACGCCGATTTTCTAGCCAACAGAATCCACGGGAAAGGGAAAAAAAACTTACGGTCTCAAAAAAGCTGACATTGAACTCGTTAGCCAGTTGCTGCCCTTGTTCCTTGCTGATCACCTGACGCACATGAAGGAAGACGAAGGAGAGAGAGAGAGAGAGAGAGAGAGAGAGAGAGAGAGAGAGAGAGAGAGAGGGAGAGAGGGGGAGAGAGAGGGAGAGAGAGAGAGAGAGAGAGAGAGAGAGAGAGAGAGAGAGAGAGAGAATGTTAACATTGGGTTTTCTCTTCAGAATTCTATCGGAAGCAGCGTTCACAACAGGCTGAAACATGATTCATTGAAAGTTGTGTTGAACAACATACCCGTCGGTTGTCCATGTCAGCCTTGTTGCCGACAAGAACCACACGCACCCCGCAAGTCGAATGCTCCTCAATGCTCTTGATCCATCCTCGCACATCTGTGCACACATGCACAAAAACAGCAGTTCGATATATTAATAAAATAATGGAAAATACACAAACGAATGAGCGAATATATCACAAAGAGCTTACTGTTGAATGATTTCGGGTCGGTGATGTCGTATACGAGAATGATCCCATGAGCGTTCCTATAGTAGGCTGCAAAGAGTCAGCACGAAAGAGCACGCATGAAAGAGCACATTAGGAATGGCTGTACAACTCTGCTCTGGTAATGGCACAAAAGATAACTGTGATAGAGATAGACGTGGGGTGGATGTGCATCTGGGCAAAGCAAAGTTAAAAAACTCGGCAGATTCAGCAATGCTTGCCGTTTGAACAAGAAGAATCACAGAACACGGATCACGACCATATATACCTTCAGTGATGGTGCGAAATTTCTCCTGCCCAGCTGTATCCCATATAGACATCTTCACCGGTTCACCATCGATTTCCATTGTGCGGATCAAGAAGTCAACTCTTCAGTCAATAAAGGAAAGGTGGGACGCTTTAGAATGATACCTACTATTCTCCATAATTCCCCATCCAAACTAGGAGTATTATTGTGTGTGTGTGCATGTGATTGTGTGCACAAACATGTGTGGCTGAGCGTGAATACTATGATCGTGTGAGTTAATGTGCATAGGGAGAGAGGAAAGAGCAGGTACGGAAGGAGTGGGGAAGGATCAAGGGGTAAGGGGAAGGGGACAATGAGAGAATGATAGTGGGAGAGGGGGAAGAGGGGAAAGGGAAATCTGTGTTGTTCGTACCCAATTGTGGATGTGAGGTCGCTTCGAAATTCGTCCTCTGAAAACCTGAGAATAAGACTGCTCTTTCCCACAGCTGCCATGAACCACACAGAGAAATGTAGAACGCAGAGAAAGGTGTATAAATATAAATCGGGTTTTGGTTTCTGATTCTTGAGGGAAAAAGAACACCCCGTTATGTATGTATGTGTGCTGCAATTAGCTGTAAATGCGAACTGAAGATAAATTAAAAAATGGATGGCTTTGGACCAGAATTCTTGCAATGCTTGCATAAAAATTACATGCATTGATAAGGCAATCTTGCAGATACTACGTACCACTGTCTCCGATAAGGAGAATTTTGACCGCTGCAGCAAGTTTGGACTTCTGTCCTCTCGACACGCCAGGTTCCTTCGAAACGTTACTATGGAAACCAACCCTTGGCATATCTCGGACCTTATTGCACAGCCCAACGTTAATTCTTGACATCGATTCACAGACTTCTCTTTGTTCAGAAGAGGGAGTGAGATACGTCGAGAATTATATCAGATCTTCTTCGAGAGTGGTAAAAACGCTTGCCTGCTGGTCTGGACTAAGGTTTGGCGTTGGCCTTCACAGCTGGTTGCAATGCTGGTCGGAAGAGTAATAGTGAGCTACAAGAGCTGATGCTGAATTCAGGGGTTTGTGTTGGATGGTGCTGGCTGCCAGAATACATTCACAAATTTGTGCAACCACGCGAGTCGCGAAATTCGCCGAAGGATCTTGCTGAATTTAGATTCTCCTCCGGCAACACACGCATGTTTACCGTGACGACCACGCTTGACCAGTCCGAGGCGTTTTTTTCAACCAATCATGTGATAATCAAGCGAACACCACACCACACACGCAAATTTTGTTTGGCGATTCGGGGCAATGCCTTGGAGAGCGGGTCACGTAGCTGTCGCAATTGCCAGGGGCCCTCCTGTTTCTTCGCTGTCTCTGGTTACTGGTGTCGCTGCGTTGTCAAAACCAGTTGACCCACGGTGAAACTAGCTGAAAGTCGCCGTTCTCAATATATTATTTTCCTGAAACGATTTGCGCGATTTGTTAAACATGATGCAGATGTCTGCTAGAGGAACAGACAGTGGCCCAACGTTAATAGCATGACTGTCTTCCATGCATGTAATATTTCACATCAGACAGCATACAATCGCGAACCGAACTCCTCATACCGTACATGTTGCTGCAACTAATCACCACCACTCTATTTCTTCCATTCCTCCGGGTTGTAAGAGGGCGGTGGGCGTGGCACAATGCTCTTCTTCCACGCACGGTCCGCCTTTCGCGACTCCCTCTTCCCAACGCCCTGCTCCATCTCCCTCTCCCGCCTCACAGTCAGCATCCGTGCGATCTGCCAGAAACAGAGAAGTGATACCAATGACACAAATTTGAAACCAACCTACAAATGAAGCACTCTATATGGCATGTCCTGCCACAAAACAGCTCCACAATAGCTGTGCATGGCAACATAGCCACCCATACCAGCCCATAAGTCATCACCAATCAGCTGTACACAGCAGTACGTCCCACAGAACGTCCCACAGTACGTCCCACAGTACGTCCCACAGTACGTCCCACAGTACGTCCCACAGTACGTCCCACAGTACGTCCCACAGTACGTCCCACAGTACGTCCCACAGTACGTCCCACAGTGCACCCCAGAGTGCACCCCACAGTACCTCAATCTCCCCCCTAGTAATGAGCTCGTGCCCATGAGCCTGCGCCCATGAGCCTGCGCCCATGAGCCTGCGCCCATGAGCCTGCGCCCATGAGCCTGCGTGCATGAGCCTGCACAGTGCACAGCCCACCTATTCCTTCCCTCGCTTTCTTCGCCTGAATCCCTTCCCCTCCTCAATCTCCGCTGTCCTCATCCCACGGAATCCCCCATCCGCACTCTTCGCATTTCTTCTGCCTCGTACCGCCCCCTCTCGACCCCTCCCAAGCTCCATCGCTTGCCACCCCTCGTCCATTCATCGTTCCCCTCTCCCCTTCATCTGCAAACTTTCCACCCCGTTCCCACTCCCCCGTTCCACCATTCCCCCCTTCTCATCCCCATGTCCCCCCTTCCCTCCCCATTTTCCTTACCCGCGTTCCCCCCACCAGAAAGTTCCCGGAAGCTTCTCACCCGCTTGTGGATGCGGCCGAACTCGCTGGGCTTGAACTCGAGGCGCGTGGCCTGCTTGGAGCGCAGCAGGAAGAGCTCGCCCTTGAGGTCCACCACCGCCTGCTCGATCTCCGCCGTCCCCATCCCGCGGATCCCCCACTCCCCACTCTCCGCCCATCTTCCGCCGCTCCCTCCCCCGCTCACTCCCTGCCCCGCTTGTTCGCTTGCTACCCACCAACCCCCTCACCTTCTGAGACCACCCCTCTCCCCCTTCCTCCCACCCGTAATTTCCGAGAACCTTCTCACCCGCTTGTGAATGCGGCCGAACTCGCTGGGCTTGAACTCGAGGCGCGTGGCCTGCTTGGCGCGCAGCAGGAAGAGCTCTCCCTTGAGGTCCACCACCGCCTGCTCGATCTCCGCCGTCCCCATCCCGCGAATCTCCGTCAGCTCCTCCTGCTTCTTCACCGCGCTCACGCGCACCGCGCCGCCGGATGCGGAGGTGCTCGAGCAGGCGAGGGAGGGGAGTGAGAGGCGCTGGCTGCTGACGTGGCAGCTACGGGAGCTGGAAAGGTTTGCCAGCCTGGCAGCCTGGGGAGGGACCAGGTGGGAGTGGGGTGGGGGGTTGGGGGGGTGGAAGGTGGGGGAAAGAGGGGAAGAAAAGTAAGAGATCAGAAGAAAGAAACAAGTGACTGTGGTGTTGGATAAGGGAATGCGTGAATTCGTAAGATTCGAAAAGAGGAGGAAGAGGCTGGGATAGAAGAACGAACCGAATTCAAGATCAGCCAGAGGAACCAGCTATACGCCAGCAACGGAGATTAGCAGTGATGGAATGAAAAAAGTCCAAAACAAAAACAAGAAGTCGGACCCTAGTCGGACGTCACTTATTAACGAAGCTGACATTTGAGTTGCCTCGGCTGCCTCTTGAGTCGACCCAGGAGTCACCTAGTTAGATACCCTACTGACATGTCCTTCTTAAGTCTAAATAGCCGAAAGTACTCGTTCGTGAGCGCACTGTTTCTCAACGGGACGTTTTTCAAATCCCGTACTGAGAAGTATGCTGACCGAATGGCTTATCGGCAACTGAACATCGCTGGTGCTTAATGGTGTGGTCCGACGCGCTGATGACAAACTCGTTTAGAATCTGTACGCTTGAGGCATCTCTACAGTAAACTAACGACAAGGTGGCAGGCTCTATTGATGGTGTGGTCTGGTACCGGCCAGCGACTAGCTAAACCCTGCATAATTCCCCGTTGGACCAGGAAGCAGTCCTCATTAGAAAGCTCAGCGACTGATTAAGAAAGACTCGTTAACAAACGGAGAGTAGGTGTCGACGTCATAAAACTATGGAAACCCTAAATAACGAGGTAGCGACCAGACATTGTGCGAGTCAGAAAAGACAGGGAAGAACCGGAGATGGACTAACGTAACCGTTGACATGCACCCAATGCCGACAATGCGCTCGCTTCAGAAACGTTTTAATCTGTGAAAACAATCAAGGCTTCACAATGGAGCCAAGGAGGTTTCACATAGAACCATGAAGGCCTAATGCTGACGGCATTAGCAAAACACGAGCGCATTCTTTCTAGCCGTGCTCCCTCACCGTGCAGGCTGAGGCTTGCTGCAAGCAGGAAAGCGACGAGGACGCCATGGCTCCGCGCGACGATCAAACCACGCGCAGTCTAGGTTGACCAAAATAAGTTCCTGCTTCCTAAGCAGCTGAAGGTCAAATAGATGTGTCGGCTGGGAATGGCGGATGTAGAGGCAAGGCCAGGTCACACAAAAGCAGGGCTTGGCTACAACAAATAAACGGTTGACTCTGGTTTGAGAGCGGTCTAGAACGGTACGATCAAGAACCAGCCTGGATGTCCCTTGGGGTTGGTCGGGATGGATTGATGAGATGCTGACGTGGAACGAGAAAACGTGGAGCTTGGGCTGGGAGCGTCCTCCATATTGTAGGTGTCTGTGTCGCTGCTATCGCACCAGTTTTCTTACAGCAGAATTCGTAATGTTCAAACTAGACGGAGGCTACCGTATGTTCAATTGGCAGGTAATTTGGAACACTGTGATGAATAGATGGAATTCCCGCCAGGTCGAGCATTGGTACCCAGCTAATGCTGAAATCGGAGAGCCTTCTAGCCAGGCAGAAACGGGTCATTTGAAGGGAGCATTCATGGACCTGGAAGTTTGACAACGAACTGTGTCGACTGGCTGGATGAGAAGAGTGGAGAAAATGCCCTTTACTGTATTGTACAGCTCATTCAGTGAGCCCTCAGTACGTACTGAAAACGAAATGAACTTCCGAGATTTGATGTTCCGACCGAACAGCCGCTGCACTGTTGCCAGGGGACTGCCAAGTTGCCACCAACTGTAGTGCGGCACTGTACAACGTCGCGAAATTCTCCACACCACACAAGACTTTTTGCAACAATTTTCAGCTTTTGCCGCCATGGTCAGGAACCAATTCTGTGTGCATTTCCGGTCCAGTTTTGTGACTGCAAATACTCGAGGAGCAGGAATTTGCCAACCATGCAAACGCAGACACGCACTGGTTATTGACAATTACAATAAGAGAACGAACCTTCTTTTTGATCGGCGAACCGTGGCCGCTGCCATGTTCATTGTGACATACGAGACATGACAGCAATGTCAGGCTGAAACAGTTTCCGAGGTGTACGGAACCTCCTGACACCTACAAATTTCTGACACCAGAGAGGGTGAGCCCCTCTGTTCATTGCCAAGCTGAATTTCAGGCAATGTGAATGATTGGACGCAATTATTTCCCAACCTGGTCTACAGTAAATGTGCTTTGCGACTACCACAGACCAGACCTGTCCAAACTTCAGATGGTGCGGAGAATGCCCTACACCTTGCCACCGGTGAAAAAAAAATCCGAGGGCAGAAATATCTGGAGACCAGTGAAAAAAGAACACACCTAGCCAATGGTGAATTCAATCCTATTATAATTTCTCTCAGACTGCGGGTTGTGAAGGACAATATCAATTCTAGAGTGGGTAGTGTTTTGGAACCTAGTACGAGTACAAGTTGCTTAGAGAATCTCAACAAAGCAACTGACCCACGCGAGTGTCTAATGTCTCAGATGCTGGTAGGTTTTGAATTTACAACTTCGAGCGTGACAGCCTCATTCATAGCCCCTAGCTTCTGGGTGTCGGGCGGAAATGGTTCTGGGTATTTTTGAAATTTGGCTGCAGCGCAGTCCAGTCCTCTTGTCCCCCCTTGTTCCCGTCAACCAACTGACATCTACACTGTACTGTTCAGACTTTTTAGGAACAGATGAAGGAACAGAACAGAAAGGTAGGTGGGTTTCTTGGGCTCTGTTCTTGCTCTACTGTACAGAATTGGGTCTGCTGCACTGCAATGCTCTCTGCTGCTGCCTGCCTACGTTCCTTGGCATCCCTCGTTTCCTCGGCATCTCGTCCGCTCTCGCTCTCCACATCCAGCCTGCATCTCGATTCTCGTCGCACCGCCACGTTTCATTCTCCGTCCTGAGTCGATCCGAAGCTCCCCGTCCCGAAGCTCGCACACCGAAACTCGCACTCCGTAGCTTGCACTCCGTAGCTCGCACTCCGAAGCTCGCATTCCGTAGCTCGTACTCCGAAGCTCGCATTCCGAAGCTCGCACTCCGAAGCTCTCGTTCCGAAGCTCGCACTCCGAAGCGCACTCCGAAGCTCGCACTCCGAAGCGCACTCCGAAGCTCGCACTCCGTGGCTCGCACTCCGAAGCTCCCGCCTCGCAAGTGACACAGCCGCGTCGCCCGTAGTACTAGCCACGGATCGACACAATGGAAAGTGACGTAGTGAGAGCGTGACGTAGTCCAAGTGTGACACTATGGGGAGTGACGCAATAGGGGGTGACGTCATGGGTAGTAGCAGGAGTGACGTAGGAGGGAGTGACGTAACAGGGAGTGTTACAAGGGGCCTTTCTCAGCGTGCTTCATGCCGGCAGTGGCGGAGACGGCAGCGGCAGGAGCGACTATGGTGTGTGTCCGTGCTCGTGCTTCTCTTGCTCGCGCCGACCGTGCAGTACCATCGCCAGCACCCCCAGCAGCTGCAGCAGCAGCGGCAACAGCAGCAGCAGCGCCTGCAGCGGTATTACTCGGGCGCCATGGCGTCTTGGGGCACTCGCGTGTTCCCCCCAGACTGTGAGTCGCGCGAGTTTCCAACTTTAATCCGCGTGTGATGAGTCTGATCTTGTTAGTCGATCCAAAAGCAGCAGCAGCACCCCCAGCAGCTGCAGCACCAGAGGCAGCAGCAGCGCCTGCAGCGGTATTACTCGGGCGCCATGGCTTCCTGGGGCACTCGCGTGTTCCCCTCAGACTGTGAGTCGCGCAAGTTCCCAAATATAATCCGCCTGTGATGAGACAGATTTTTGTTAGTCGACTCCTAAACGGCAGCAGCGCCTGCAGTGGTATTACTATGACGCCATGGTTTCCTGGAAGATTCGCGTGTTCCCGCCGGACTGCGACTCGCCGGACTGCGAGTCGCGGGTGTAACAAGCGGCGAGGGGAGTGCGTACTACGGGTTGTAAAGCAGCGGCGCACGGTGTTCGTACGCGCTGACGCGAACGGGTTGCAGCGAACGGTTTGTAGCGAATGGGTTGTAACGTACGGCTAGTAAAGGACAGGCTGCAACGCGTGGTCGTGGATTCTAGTTCGTAGATTCTGGACCGTGGATTCGTGAAATGCAGTTCTTGTTAACCCTAATCGCAGCCCCACGGCGTACTGCACTGGAAAAGTTGTTTGTTTACACAGACCCTCATCTCCTTCCACCTATCCCAGCCGCTTTCCACCCCCCGCTCCCACGCTTGGAGCGAATATTTGCAGCTTTGAAGCTCTTCCGCTATGAGTGACAATCTCACATCTTCTACAACCGCTCCCAGCCGCTCCCCACCCTCCGCTCCCCCCGACGCCTTACCATCCTCCCTCCCTCTCCTCCCTTCTCCTCCTCCCTCCCACATTCTCTTGCCCCCTCCTCGCTCCCTTACCCTTCCGTCTCCCTCCCCACCGCACGAAGCAGGGCGAGCGCTGATGGCTTTGAGGGACCAGCTGGCCTTTGCGAACCCTAGCCGCAGCCCCAAGGCGATCCTTTCTCCAATCCTGCCTCTCCCCTCTTCTCTCAACTTCCTCCCTCCCCGCCCTTTCAGGGCAAGCGCTGGTGCCTCTGCGGGACCAGCTGGCCTTTGCGAACCCTAGCCGCAGCCCCAAGGCGATCCTTTCTCCAATCCTGCCTCTCCCCTCTTCTCTCAACTTCCTCCCTCCCCGCCCTTTCAGGGCAAGCGCTGGTGCCTCTGCGGGACCAGCTGGCCTTTGCGAACCCTAGCCGCAGCCCCAAGGCGATCCGTTCTCCTTCCCGACCGTATTCCCCCATCCCCTCCCACCTCGTCTCCCCCCCTCGTTTCCCCCTCTCTCTCAACTTTCTTCCCCCGTCGTTCCGAGCAGGGCAAGCGCTGGTGACTCGGAGGGACCAGATGACGTTTGTGAACCCTAGCCGCAACCTCAAGGCGTTCTGGAAGAGCGATTTGCGTACTCTCCCATTCCTCCCCCCGCCTTTTCTACCCTCCCCTCCCCCGATGTCTGTCCCCTCTTCCTCCCTCCTCACCCCCCTCCCCCGCCCGTCTCCTCCCTTCCCGCCCCTCCCCACCACACTCAACCAGGGCAAGCGCTGGTGACTCTGAGGGACCAGATGACGTTTGTGAATCCCAGCCGCAGCCCCCAGGCGTTCTGGCAGGGCGGATAACACAGGCGCTCATCCTTCTCCCCTCCTCCTCGCCTCCCCTTCCCTCCCCCGCCCCTCCCCACCACACTCAACCAGGGCAAGCGCTGGTGACTCTGAGGGACCAGATGACGTTCGTGAACCCCAGCCGCAGCCCGCAGGCGTTCTGGCAGAGCGTACACGCAAACACGCTCATCCCCCCCCCTCCCGTTCCGCCCCCCCGCACCCTCCTTCTCCCCATCCCCGCCGTTTCAGGGCAAGCGCTGGTGGCTCTGAGGGATCAGATGACGTTTGTGAATCCCATCCGCAGCCCGCAGGCGTTCTGGAAGAGCGACTTGCACAGACGCTCATCCTTCTCCCCTCCTCCCCGCCTTCCCTTCCCTCCCCCGCCCCTCCCCACCACACTCAACCAGGGCAAGCGCTGGTGGCTCTGAGGGATCAGATGACGTTTGTGAACCCGAGCCGCAGCCCCCAGGCGTTCTGGAAGAGCGCGGACAACTGCGAGGCGCTCTATGGCGTGGTGTGTGACATCAACGGATATGTTACCGTGCTGTGAGTCCTTTGGCTGCTCGGCATTCCCCAGTTGTGAGTGCCAGCTTGCAGCACTGTGGGTGGCAAAGGGCAGATCCGGCTATCTGTGTAATCTAGCGGCTGCCCCAAGAGCGCGGAGAACTGCGAGGCTCTATACGGGGTCGTGTGCGACATCAACGGCTATGTGACCGCGCTGTGAGTGGCACAAGGCAGATTTAACTATGTTACTCGTGCTAGACACTCTCTGAGTGCCAGAGGCGCTGTTTGGGGTGGTCTGTGACATCAACGGCTATGTGACCGCGCTGTGAGTCCTGGGTTACCGCGCTGTGAGTGGCAAAGGGCAGATCCGGCTGTGTTTTCTATCTACCAGCAGCCCCAATCCCTTTTTGTTAGAATTCGTTTTTTGAGATTTCTACAGAATCAGATTCAGAGTGGCAAATGGCAGATCTGGCTATCTGTGTTATCTATGTAGCAACAGCACCAAGAGCGCGGACAACTGCGAGGCTCTCTTTAGCGTCGTCTGCGACACAACGGCTACGTTACCGTGCTGGGAGTGCTACTTTACAGCTCTGTGAGTGCTAGCTAGGTTACCACTCGGTGAGTGCTAGGTTCGCTCTGGGAGTGGCAAAGGGCAGATCCGGCTGTGTTATCGCGCTGCAACCAAACCCCAGGCGTTCTGGAAGAGTGCGGACAACCGCGAGGCGCTGTTTGGGTTTTTTTTTTCTAGAATTCTAAATAAATCCGTGCGACACCCACCAACGGCTATGTGACCGCGCTTTGAGTCCTATGTCACCGCGCTGTAAGTGGCAGAGTCAGCAGGGAGTTGTGGGGGGATTGCGGGTCAAGATTGAAGTAAATATCCCCCCACAGTGTCTCTCCCTTACTTCCAGATCCATTCCCTTCTGCCTCCTCCCTGCCCTCTCCATCTCGCAGCACCCTAGTGGGTGGGAGTGGTGGGCCCGCTTCTAAAAGAATGCGTGAAACTCTTTCTCATCTCATGTCCGCTTCTGCACATCTCCCCTTCGGCTCCGCCTCTCCCCTGCTCTTCTCCTCGAAGCACCCTAGTCTGGTGGTGGGGGGTTCCAAGGCAATGCAGAAAGCTCTTGCCCTCACCGAGCCTCCTCCTGTCCCGCGTCCTCCTCCTGTCCCGCGTCCTCCTCCTGTCCCGCGTCCTCCTCCTGTCCCGCGTCCTCCTCCTGTCCCGCGTCCTCCTCCTGTCCCGCGTCCTCCTCCTGTCCCGCGTCCTCCTCCTGTCCCGCGTCCTCCTCCTGTCCCGCGTCCTCCTCCTGTCCCGCGTCCTCCTCCTGTCCCGCGTCCTCCTCCTGTCCCGCGTCCTCCTCCTCCTGTCCCGCGTCCTCCTCCTGTCCCGCGTCCTCCTCCTGTCCCGCGTCCTCCTCCTGTCCCGCGTCCTCCTCCTGTCCCGCGTCCTCCTCCTGTCCCGCGTCCTCCTCCTGTCCCGCGTCCTCCTCCTCCTGTCCCGCGTCCTCCTCCTGTCCCGCGTCCTCCTCCTGTCCCGCGTCCTCCTCCTGTCCCGCGTCCTCCTCCTCCTGTCCCGCGTCCTCCTCCTGTCCCGCGTCCTCCTCCTGTCCCGCGTCCTCCTCCTGTCCTGCGTCCTCCTCCTGTCCCGCGTCCTCCTCCTGCTGTCCCGCGTCCTCCTCCTGTCCCGCGTCCTCCTCCTGTCCCGCGTCCTCCTCCTGTCCCGCGTCCTCCTCCTGTCCCGCGTCCTCCTCCTGTCCCGCGTCCTCCTCCTGTCCCGCGTCCTCCTCCTGTCCCGCGTCCTCCTCCTCCTGTCCCGCGTCCTCCTCCTGTCCCGCGTCCTCCTCCTGTCCCGCGTCCTCCTCCTGTCCCGCGTCCTCCTCCTGTCCCGCGTCCTCCTCCTCCTGTCCCGCGTCCTCCTCCTGTCCCGCGTCCTCCTCCTGTCCCGCGTCCTCCTCCTGTCCCGCGTCCTCCTCCTGTCCCGCGTCCTCCTCCTGTCCCGCGTCCTCCTCCTGTCCCGCGTCCTCCTCCTCCTGTCCCGCGTCCTCCTCCTGTCCCGCGTCCTCCTCCTGTCCCGCGTCTCCTCCTGTCCCGCGTCCTCCTCCTGTCCCGCGTCCTCCTCCTGTCCCGCGTCCTCCTCCTGTCCCGCGTCCTCCTCCTGTCCCGCGTCCTCCTCCTGTCCCGCGTCCTCCTCCTGTCCCGCGTCCTCCTCCTGTCCCGCGTCCTCCTCCTGTCCCGCGTCCTCCTCCTGTCCCGCGTCCTCCTCCTGTCCCGCGTCCTCCTCCTGTCCCGCGTCCTCCTCCTGTCCCGCGTCTCCTCCTGTCCCGCGTCCTCCTCCTGTCCCGCGTCCCTCCTCCTGTCCCGCGTCCTCCTACCTGTCCCGCGTCCTCCTCCTGTCCCGCGTCCTCCTCCTGTCCCGCGTCCTCCTCCTGTCCCGCGTCCTCCTCCTGTCCCGCGTCCTCCTCCTGTCCCGCGTCCTCCTCCTGTCCCGCGTCCTCCTCCTGTCCCGCGTCCTCCTCCTGTCCCGCGTCCTCCTCCTGTCCCGCGTCCTCCTCCTGTCCCGCGTCCTCCTCCTGTCCCGCGTCCTCCTCCTGTCCCGCGTCCTCCTCCTGTCCCGCGTCCTCCTCCTGTCCCGCGTCCTCCTCCTGTCCCGCGTCCTCCTCCTGTCCCGCGTCCTCCTCCTGTCCCGCGTCCTCCTCCTGTCCCGCGTCCTCCTCCTGTCCCGCGTCCTCCTCCTGTCCCGCGTCCTCCTCCTGTCCCGCGTCCTCCTCCTGTCCCGCGTCCTCCTCCTGTCCCGCGTCCTCCTCCTGTCCCGCGTCCTCCTCCTGTCCCGCGTCCTCCTCCTGTCCCGCGTCCTCCTCCTGTCCCGCGTCCTCCTCCTGTCCCGCGTCCTCCTCCTGTCCCGCGTCCTCCTCCTGTCCCGCGTCCTCCTCCTGTCCCGCGTCCTCCTCCTGTCCCGCGTCCTCCTCCTGTCCCGCGTCCTCCTCCTGTCCCGCGTCCTCCTCCTGTCCCGCGTCCTCCTCCTGTCCCGCGTCCTCCTCCTGTCCCGCGTCCTCCTCCTGTCCCGCGTCCTCCTCCTGTCCCGCGTCCTCCTCCTGTCCCGCGTCCTCCTCCTGTCCCGCGTCCTCCTCCTGTCCCGCGTCCTCCTCCTGTCCCGCGTCCTCCTCCTGTCCCGCGTCCTCCTCCTGTCCCGCGTCCTCCTCCTGTCCCGCGTCCTCCTCCTGTCCCGCGTCCTCCTCCTGTCCCGCGTCCTCCTCCTGTCCCGCGTCCTCCTCCTGTCCCGCGTCCTCCTCCTGTCCCGCGTCCTCCTCCTGTCCCGCGTCCTCCTCCTGTCCCGCGTCCTCCTCCTGTCCCGCGTCCTCCTCCTGTCCCGCGTCCTCCTCCTGTCCCGCGTCCTCCTCCTGTCCCGCGTCCTCCTCCTGTCCCGCGTCCTCCTCCTGTCCCGCGTCCTCCTCCTGTCCCGCGTCCTCCTCCTGTCCCGCGTCCTCCTCCTGTCCCGCGTCCTCCTCCTGTCCCGCGTCCTCCTCCTGTCCCGCGTCCTCCTCCTGTCCCGCGTCCTCCTCCTGTCCCGCGTCCTCCTCCTGTCCCGCGTCCTCCTCCTGTCCCGCGTCCTCCTCCTGTCCCGCGTCCTCCTCCTGTCCCGCGTCCTCCTCCTGTCCCGCGTCCTCCTCCTGTCCCGCGTCCTCCTCCTGTCCCGCGTCCTCCTCCTGTCCCGCGTCCTCCTCCTGTCCCGCGTCCTCCTCCTGTCCCGCGTCCTCCTCCTGTCCCGCGTCCTCCTCCTGTCCCGCGTCCTCCTCCTGTCCCGCGTCCTCCTCCTGTCCCGCGTCCTCCTCCTGTCCCGCGTCCTCCTCCTGTCCCGCGTCCTCCTCCTGTCCCGCGTCCTCCTCCTGTCCCGCGTCCTCCTCCTGTCCCGCGTCCTCCTCCTGTCCCGCGTCCTCCTCCTGTCCCGCGTCCTCCTCCTGTCCCGCGTCCTCCTCCTGTCCCGCGTCCTCCTCCTGTCCCGCGTCCTCCTCCTGTCCCGCGTCCTCCTCCTGTCCCGCGTCCTCCTCCTGTCCCGCGTCCTCCTCCTGTCCCGCGTCCTCCTCCTGTCCCGCGTCCTCCTCCTGTCCCGCGTCCTCCTCCTGTCCCGCGTCCTCCTCCTGTCCCGCGTCCTCCTCCTGTCCCGCGTCCTCCTCCTGTCCCGCGTCCTCCTCCTGTCCCGCGTCCTCCTCCTGTCCCGCGTCCTCCTCCTGTCCCGCGTCCTCCTCCTGTCCCGCGTCCTCCTCCTGTCCCGCGTCCTCCTCCTGTCCCGCGTCCTCCTCCTGTCCCGCGTCCTCCTCCTGTCCCGCGTCCTCCTCCTGTCCCGCGTCCTCCTCCTGTCCCGCGTCCTCCTCCTCCTGTCCCGCGTCCTCCTCCTGTCCCGCGTCCTCCTCCTGTCCCGCGTCCTCCTCCTGTCCCGCGTCCTCCTCCTGTCCCGCGTCCTCCTCCTGTCCCGCGTCCTCCTCCTGTCCCGCGTCCTCCTCCTGTCCCGCGTCCTCCTCCTGTCCCGCGTCCTCCTCCTGTCCCGCGTCCTCCTCCTGTCCCGCGTCCTCCTCCTGTCCCGCGTCCTCCTCCTGTCCCGCGTCCTCCTCCTGTCCCGCGTCCTCCTCCTGTCCCGCGTCCTCCTCCTGTCCCGCGTCCTCCTCCTGTCCCGCGTCCTCCTCCTGTCCCGCGTCCTCCTCCTGTCCCGCGTCCTCCTCCTGTCCCGCGTCCTCCTCCTGTCCCGCGTCCTCCTCCTGTCCCGCGTCCTCCTCCTGTCCCGCGTCCTCCTCCTGTCCCGCGTCCTCCTCCTGTCCCGCGTCCTCCTCCTGTCCCGCGTCCTCCTCCTGTCCCGCGTCCTCCTCCTGTCCCGCGTCCTCCTCCTGTCCCGCGTCCTCCTCCTGTCCCGCGTCCTCCTCCTGTCCCGCGTCCTCCTCCTGTCCCGCGTCCTCCTCCTGTCCCGCGTCCTCCTCCTGTCCCGCGTCCTCCTCCTGTCCCGCGTCCTCCTCCTGTCCCGCGTCCTCCTCCTGTCCCGCGTCCTCCTCCTGTCCCGCGTCCTCCTCCTCCTGTCCCGCGTCCTCCTCCCTGTCCCGCGTCCTCCTCCTGTCCCGCGTCCTCCTCCTGTCCCGCGTCCTCCTCCTGTCCCGCGTCCTCCTCCTGTCCCGCGTCTCCTCCTCCTGTCCCGCGTCCTCCTCCTGTCCCGCGTCCTCCTCCTGTCCCGCGTCCTCCTCCTGTCCCGCGTCCTCCTCCTGTCCCGCGTCCTCCTCCTGTCCCGCGTCCTCCTCCTCCTGTCCCGCGTCCTCCTCCTGTCCCGCGTCCTCCTCCTGTCCCGCGTCCTCCTCCTGTCCCGCGTCCTCCTCCTGTCCCGCGTCCTCCTCCTGTCCCGCGTCCTCCTCCTGTCCCGCGTCCTCCTCCTGTCCCGCGTCCTCCTCCTGTCCCGCGTCCTCCTCCTGTCCCGCGTCCTCCTCCTGTCCCGCGTCCTCCTCCTGTCCCGCGTCCTCCTCCTGTCCCGCGTCCTCCTCCTCCTGTCCCGCGTCCTCCTCCTGTCCCGCGTCCTCCTCCTGTCCCGCGTCCTCCTCCTGTCCCGCGTCCTCCTCCTGTCCCGCGTCCTCCTCCTGTCCCGCGTCCTCCTCCTGTCCCGCGTCCTCCTCCTGTCCCGCGTCCTCCTCCTGTCCCGCGTCCTCCTCCTGTCCCGCGTCCTCCTCCTGTCCCGCGTCCTCCTCCTGTCCCGCGTCCTCCTCCTGTCCCGCGTCCTCCTCCTGTCCCGCGTCCTCCTCCTGTCCCGCGTCCTCCTCCTGTCCCGCGTCCTCCTCCTGTCCCGCGTCCTCCTCCTGTCCCGCGTCCTCCTCCTGTCCCGCGTCCTCCTCCTGTCCCGCGTCCTCCTCCTGTCCCGCGTCCTCCTCCTCTCCTGCCCTCTCCACCCGTGGGCACCCTAGTGGGAGTGGTGGGGCCGCTTCCCAAAGATTCCGAGCCAATGCGTGAGGCTTGTTCCCTCACCTCACCTCAACTCCCTCCGCCCACTCCCTTCATCCTCCCACCCTGCCCTCTCCTCCGGAGCACCCTAGTGGGAGTGGTGGGGCCGCTCCCGAACGCCATCGGGTGGGAGAGACGTTTGAAATTCCTCTACCACTTTCCACCTCACCTCATCCCCTTCTCCACTTCTTCCCTCCACCGCCCCCCCTGCCCTCTGCACCTCTCAGCACCCTAGTGGGAGTGGTGGGGCCGCTCCCAGCCGCCATTGGCAACCTTCCTTCACTCGCCTTCCTGTAGGCTTCCTCCCTCGCTGCTCCTTTTTGCCACTCTGCCCCTCCTGCTCTGTACCCTGTGCTTTCCATCTGCTTAATTATCCAGTCCACAATGAAAGCAAAAAGTATTCGTCTGTTTTTTATCTACATTCCTATCTGCATTTCTATCTGATTTCTATCCGCTTCCTCTGAAACCCACTGTGGAAGGAGCATCCACTCCCTTTTTTATTTCGTGTGCTTGGCATTATATGGGATCGAATTCCTTTCCGCTTTTCCACATCCCCTTTATAAACAGATCCATCGCCAGCAATTTGACGAGCCTTCCCTCCACCCTTGTGCAACTCAGCTCCACACTAACTGCTCTGTATGTTCCACACACAGACTTCCCTCCTCTCCCACACACACTCTCATTCACTCCCTTGCTCACCCACTCACTCACGCACCCACTCACCCTCTCACTCACTCACTCACTCACTCACTCATGTGTTCTCCAATATCACACACCGCTTGCGGTGGATCAACGCGGGGCAAAAAACCATGGATGGAGAGAGCTCCCTTCTCTCGTGACTCGAAACCCAACTTCTATCGCGTTGGATCGACGCGGGGCAACATACCATTCCTTCTCTCTCTCTCTCTCGTGACTCAACGGTACTGCACACACCCGCGTATGTTGGATTGAATTTATGCAGGGCAGAACACCCTGAATAGAGAGGGTATTTCGAGCCGTCGTGTTGTTGTGAAAAGTTTTGAGACGTCTCAAGGCGCGTTGTTGTCAGAAAAAGAGGAATATTCACCTCCGGTGGTCCGTGTAATGTAACTATCCCCTTCTGCTGTGAGTCAAAACTTGTGACCCTCCCTCTCCCCTCTCAACTCTGCTCCCTCTCGCTCCCTTCTCCCACTTGTCCCCTCTCTCCCTTCTCTCCGTCTCCCCCTCGCTCCTGGAGTCACTTAGGCTTCAAAACCTTGCGGGAACCTAGTCTGCCACTTTGAGACGTCTCAAGAATTTTATTTCTTCTCCCCTCTCTCCCTTCTCCCCTTCTCCCCTCTCACCCTTCTCTCCTATCTCCCTCTCTCCCTATCCCTCCTGCACCCACTTGGGTCTCAACAACTTTGCGGGAACCTTCCTTTCCGTTTTGAAACGTCTCAAGACTTCTCTCCCTTCTCTCCCTCTTTCCCTCTCCCTTCTGCAGCCACTTGGGCTTTAACAGCCTTACAGGAACCTTCCCTTCCACTGTCACTCGCCTGCTGCAGCTGCGCACACTGTAAGAAGGGCTGCTTCCCTTCCCTCAATAGCGGCTTGGCCGTGTCATTCTCTTCTGCTGTAGTTCCCTTCCCTCAATAGCGGTTTGGGCGTGTCATTCTCTTCTGCTGTAGTTCCCTTCCCTCAGTAGCGGTTTGGGCGTGTCATTCTCTTCTGCTGTAGTTCCCTTCCCTCAGTAGCGGTTTGGGCGTGTCATTCTCTTCTGCTGTAGTTCCCTTCCCTCAATAGCGGTTTGGGCGTGTCATTCTCTTCTGCTGTAGTTCCCTTCCCTCAATAGCGGTTTGGGCGTGTCATTCTCTTCTGCTGTAGTTCCCTTCCCTCAATAGCGGTTTGGGCGTGTCATTCTCTTCTGCTGTAGTTCCCTTCCCTCAATAGCGGTTTGGGCGTGTCATTCTCTTCTGCTGTAGTTCCCTTCCCTCAATAGCGGTTTGGGCGTGTCATTCTCTTCTGCTGTAGTTCCCTTCCCTCAATAGCGGTTTGGGCGTGTCATTCTCTTCTGCTGTAGTTCCCTTCCCTCAATAGCGGTTTGGGCGTGTCATTCTCTTCTGCTGTAGTTCCCTTCCCTCAATAGCGGTTTGGGCGTGTCATTCTCTTCTGCTGTAGTTCCCTTCCCTCAATAGCGGTTTGGGCGTGTCATTCTCTTCTGCTGTAGTTCCCTTCCCTCAATAGCGGTTTGGGCGTGTCATTCTCTTCTGCTGTAGTTCCCTTCCCTCAATAGCGGTTTGGGCGTGTCATTCTCTTCTGCTGTAGTTCCCTTCCCTCAATAGCGGTTTGGGCGTGTCATTCTCTTCTGCTGTAGTTCCCTTCCCTCAATAGCGGTTTGGGCGTGTCATTCTCTTCTGCTGTAGTTCCCTTCCCTCAATAGCGGTTTGGGCGTGTCATTCTCTTCTGCTGTAGTTCCCTTCCCTCAATAGCGGTTTGGGCGTGTCATTCTCTTCTGCTGTAGTTCCCTTCCCTCAATAGCGGTTTGGGCGTGTCATTCTCTTCTGCTGTAGTTCCCTTCCCTCAATAGCGGTTTGGGCGTGTCATTCTCTTCTGCTGTAGTTCCCTTCCCTCAATAGCGGTTTGGGCGTGTCATTCTCTTCTGCTGTAGTTCCCTTCCCTCAAAAGCGGTTTGGGCGTGTCATTCTCTTCTGCTGTAGTTCCCTTCCCTCAATAGCGGTTTGGGCGTGTCATTCTCTTCTGCTGTAGTTCCCTTCCCTCAATAGCGGTTTGGGCGTGTCATTCTCTTCTGCTGTAGTTCCCTTCCCTCAATAGCGGTTTGGGCGTGTCATTCTCTTCTGCTGTAGTTCCCTTCCCTCAATAGCGGTTTGGGCGTGTCATTCTCTTCTGCTGTAGTTCCCTTCCCTCAATAGCGGTTTGGGCGTGTCATTCTCTTCTGCTGTAGTTCCCTTCCCTCAATAGCGGTTTGGGCGTGTCATTCTCTTCTGCTGTAGTTCCCTTCCCTCAATAGCGGTTTGGGCGTGTCATTCTCTTCTGCTGTAGTTCCCTTCCCTCAATAGCGGTTTGGGCGTGTCATTCTCTTCTGCTGTAGTTCCCTTCCCTCAATAGCGGTTTGGGCGTGTCATTCTCTTCTGCTGTAGTTCCCTTCCCTCAATAGCGGTTTGGGCGTGTCATTCTCTTCTGCTGTAGTTCCCTTCCCTCAATAGCGGTTTGGGCGTGTCATTCTCTTCTGCTGTAGTTCCCTTCCCTCAATAGCGGTTTGGGCGTGTCATTCTCTTCTGCTGTAGTTCCCTTCCCTCAATAGCGGTTTGGGCGTGTCATTCTCTTCTGCTGTAGTTCCCTTCCCTCAATAGCGGTTTGGGCGTGTCATTCTCTTCTGCTGTAGTTCCCTTCCCTCAATAGCGGTTTGGGCGTGTCATTCTCTTCTGCTGTAGTTCCCTTCCCTCAATAGCGGTTTGGGCGTGTCATTCTCTTCTGCTGTAGTTCCCTTCCCTCAATAGCGGTTTGGGCGTGTCATTCTCTTCTGCTGTAGTTCCCTTCCCTCAATAGCGGTTTGGGCGTGTCATTCTCTTCTGCTGTAGTTCCCTTCCCTCGATAGCGGTTTGGGCGTGTCATTCTCTTCTGCTGTAGTTCCCTTCCCTCAATAGCGGTTTGGGCGTGTCATTCTCTTCTGCTGTAGTTCCCTTCCCTCAATAGCGGTTTGGGCGTGTCATTCTCTTCTGCTGTAGTTCCCTTCCCTCAATAGCGGTTTGGGCGTGTCATTCTCTTCTGCTGTAGTTCCCTTCCCTCAATAGCGGTTTGGGCGTGTCATTCTCTTCTGCTGTAGTTCCCTTCCCTCAATAGCGGTTTGGGCGTGTCATTCTCTTCTGCTGTAGTTCCCTTCCCTCAATAGCGGTTTGGGCGTGTCATTCTCTTCTGCTGTAGTTCCCTTCCCTCAATAGCGGTTTGGGCGTGTCATTCTCTTCTGCTGTAGTTCCCTTCCCTCAAAGCGGTTTGGGCGTGTCATTCTCTTCTGCTGTAGTTCCCTTCCCTCAATAGCGGTTTGGGCGTGTCATTCTCTTCTGCTGTAGTTCCCTTCCCTCAATAGCGGTTTGGGCGTGTCATTCTCTTCTGCTGTAGTTCCCTTCCCTCAATAGCGGTTTGGGCGTGTCATTCTCTTCTGCTGTAGTTCCCTTCCCTCAATAGCGGTTTGGGCGTGTCATTCTCTTCTGCTGTAGTTCCCTTCCCTCAATAGCGGTTTGGGCGTGTCATTCTCTTCTGCTGTAGTTCCCTTCCCTCAATAGCGGTTTGGGCGTGTCATTCTCTTCTGCTGTAGTTCCCTTCCCTCAATAGCGGTTTGGGCGTGTCATTCTCTTCTGCTGTAGTTCCCTTCCCTCAATAGCGGTTTGGGCGTGTCATTCTCTTCTGCTGTAGTTCCCTTCCCTCAATAGCGGTTTGGGCGTGTCATTCTCTTCTGCTGTAGTTCCCTTCCCTCAATAGCGGTTTGGGCGTGTCATTCTCTTCTGCTGTAGTTCCCTTCCCTCAATAGCGGTTTGGGCGTGTCATTCTCTTCTGCTGTAGTTCCCTTCCCTCAATAGCGGTTTGGGCGTGTCATTCTCTTCTGCTGTAGTTCCCTTCCCTCAATAGCGGTTTGGGCGTGTCATTCTCTTCTGCTGTAGTTCCCTTCCCTCAATAGCGGTTTGGGCGTGTCATTCTCTTCTGCTGTAGTTCCCTTCCCTCAATAGCGGTTTGGGCGTGTCATTCTCTTCTGCTGTAGTTCCCTTCCCTCAATAGCGGTTTGGGCGTGTCATTCTCTTCTGCTGTAGTTCCCTTCCCTCAATAGCGGTTTGGGCGTGTCATTCTCTTCTGCTGTAGTTCCCTTCCCTCAATAGCGGTTTGGGCGTGTCATTCTCTTCTGCTGTAGTTCCCTTCCCTCAATAGCGGTTTGGGCGTGTCATTCTCTTCTGCTGTAGTTCCCTTCCCTCAATAGCGGTTTGGGCGTGTCATTCTCTTCTGCTGTAGTTCCCTTCCCTCAATAGCGGTTTGGGCGTGTCATTCTCTTCTGCTGTAGTTCCCTTCCCTCAATAGCGGTTTGGGCGTGTCATTCTCTTCTGCTGTAGTTCCCTTCCCTCAATAGCGGTTTGGGCGTGTCATTCTCTTCTGCTGTAGTTCCCTTCCCTCAATAGCGGTTTGGGCGTGTCATTCTCTTCTGCTGTAGTTCCCTTCCCTCAATAGCGGTTTGGGCGTGTCATTCTCTTCTGCTGTAGTTCCCTTCCCTCAATAGCGGTTTGGGCGTGTCATTCTCTTCTGCTGTAGTTCCCTTCCCTCAATAGCGGTTTGGGCGTGTCATTCTCTTCTGCTGTAGTTCCCTTCCCTCAATAGCGGTTTGGGCGTGTCATTCTCTTCTGCTGTAGTTCCCTTCCCTCAATAGCGGTTTGGGCGTGTCATTCTCTTCTGCTGTAGTTCCCTTCCCTCAATAGCGGTTTGGGCGTGTCATTCTCTTCTGCTGTAGTTCCCTTCCCTCAATAGCGGTTTGGGCGTGTCATTCTCTTCTGCTGTAGTTCCCTTCCCTCAATAGCGGTTTGGGCGTGTCATTCTCTTCTGCTGTAGTTCCCTTCCCTCAATAGCGGTTTGGGCGTGTCATTCTCTTCTGCTGTAGTTCCCTTCCCTCAATAGCGGTTTGGGCGTGTCATTCTCTTCTGCTGTAGTTCCCTTCCCTCAATAGCGGTTTGGGCGTGTCATTCTCTTCTGCTGTAGTTCCCTTCCCTCAATAGCGGTTTGGGCGTGTCATTCTCTTCTGCTGTAGTTCCCTTCCCTCAATAGCGGTTTGGGCGTGTCATTCTCTTCTGCTGTAGTTCCCTTCCCTCAATAGCGGTTTGGGCGTGTCATTCTCTTCTGCTGTAGTTCCCTTCCCTCAATAGCGGTTTGGGCGTGTCATTCTCTTCTGCTGTAGTTCCCTTCCCTCAATAGCGGTTTGGGCGTGTCATTCTCTTCTGCTGTAGTTCCCTTCCCTCAATAGCGGTTTGGGCGTGTCATTCTCTTCTGCTGTAGTTCCCTTCCCTCAATAGCGGTTTGGGCGTGTCATTCTCTTCTGCTGTAGTTCCCTTCCCTCAATAGCGGTTTGGGCGTGTCATTCTCTTCTGCTGTAGTTCCCTTCCCTCAATAGCGGTTTGGGCGTGTCATTCTCTTCTGCTGTAGTTCCCTTCCCTCAATAGCGGTTTGGGCGTGTCATTCTCTTCTGCTGTAGTTCCCTTCCCTCAATAGCGGTTTGGGCGTGTCATTCTCTTCTGCTGTAGTTCCCTTCCCTCAATAGCGGTTTGGGCGTGTCATTCTCTTCTGCTGTAGTTCCCTTCCCTCAATAGCGGTTTGGGCGTGTCATTCTCTTCTGCTGTAGTTCCCTTCCCTCAATAGCGGTTTGGGCGTGTCATTCTCTTCTGCTGTAGTTCCCTTCCCTCAATAGCGGTTTGGGCGTGTCATTCTCTTCTGCTGTAGTTCCCTTCCCTCAATAGCGGTTTGGGCGTGTCATTCTCTTCTGCTGTAGTTCCCTTCCCTCAATAGCGGTTTGGGCGTGTCATTCTC